ATATATACGTTTACACTTTTACGGATTTGTAGCATGTGTTAATGTGCCTCGCACTTTTACTGCAGCTATACTTCGCAGGGGCGGATTTAGGAGATTTTTTACCTTTTGAGAGGTAAAGAAAGGAAAAAAAAAGAAAAAAAGAAAGACAAAGAAAAAACGATAACCCAGAACGCCTCAAATGTTATTTTCGGGCGTCTAAAATACAGAAGTTTCGTGGGGGCATGCCCCCGGACCTCCTATTTCAGTGTTGTCTCGATCGGCCCAAACTTCGCCCCCCCCCCCTTTGGACATCTCTGGATCCGCCCCTGCTTCGTCCTGCCTCACATGAATTGCAGTTGAAGTGGTCGGTAGACGGCTTGCATGAATCGCATGCCTCGCAGTTTGTCAATACCCGCGGAGAACGCTATCCTTGTGTTTATAAGATCTTTGATCAAAAGTCATTATCTCTGATTCCACACATCCACTTCATAACACCTTTATTTTTTGCAATTCTGATTGGACTGGATTGGACGAGGACCGCGCTATCCGAGGGATTCCGGGAATTCCGAGCATCCTGGGTGCTGAACGAAGCGTGCTACGGCACATCACCCAGTTTCTGGTACAGGGCGTGCTTCGGCGTATACGGCTCCCTTCCGAAGGAGATTCTCGCTATAATGGTACCTTGTGTGTCAGATACGATGGCGGTCGTTGCGCGTTGTACGGCGACCTAGGAATAGAAGCGGACCGAGAAAAATGCCGGGTGTCGGAAAAGTTCATTTTTGGATTATTATTAAATTCCATTGGAATGAAATTGCCCTTTCTTTCTAATTTGCTTTTACTATAGTTTATTCAATTATTTTACAACTTGTTACGTTTGTTCATGACTTAATTGCAATAAAAATTAAATATTAATAAACAATTCAATCATATCATATTCTTAATTGATCTTAATGCAATTAATTATGAACAAATAAATAAATTATAAATTCTAATGCTAATAATGTTCAAGACATTATTTGTAATAACAATCATTTGATTAAAGTTAACTCAAATTTAATTGACCTTAAGTGCAATATGTAATAAATATATAAACCATAAATCTAAATCCTAGTAATTTTATCATTTTTATATTTTTTAATGTTTGAACAGTTTCTTCTTTTTATATGACTTTGTTTTCCATGTTTTGTATTTTCGTGTGCTTTTAATGTTACGGTAACGAGGAACTGAGTCTCACATTTTATTGTGATAATAAAGTATATCTGTATCTGTATCTGTATAATAGTTTATCATGGTCCAATGAAGATATGATTAAATTTTGGTGACGATCCGGAGTAGGATGTGGATAGTAGGACCATTCAAGCGAAACGTCCTAGACCAGATCACCAGATATACAAAAAAAAACTGATCAACTGATCTGAATGAAGTAGAATATTTTTTTTTAAAATTTTGGTGACGATCCAGATTCAGGTGAGAATTTGAGAGTAATTCAAAATGCTCCATTCCCAGACCTAAATATCAAAAAGAATTATCAATGGATTTAAATGAAACTTTCCAGAATAGTTTGTCATGGTTCAACGAAAAAAAGTTAAATTTTGGTGACAATTTGGAGTAGGATGTGGACATAAGGACTAATTATAATGAAATTTCCAAGACCAGATATCCCAAAACTGATCAACTGGCCTGAATGAATATGAATCCAATGTAAAAGATGTCCAATTGAAAATTGTGACTTGGTACTTAATTTTCAATTGTACATAGTTTATGTCGTTATTATTGTTTTTCATAGGCCTATTATTTATTTATTTTTATTTTTATACAAATAAATTAATTATATTATTAAATTCACAATTTAGGGGCACCCGCTTTAAAGCTTGCTTCGGGTTCCGGCCCATTGCCACCCGGGCCCGTTGCCACCCGGCCTTTTTGAAACCCGGCCTTTTGCCACCCGGCCCGTTGCCACCCGGCCTTTTGCCAACCCTAGGCCCGTTGCCAACCGGCCTTTTGCCACTCAACAGCCAT